AAGACAGTGATAAAATGTTGCCCATTATTGGCCAAACAATGATATAGGGCATGTTCAGATTCCTGACGGACATTTTCAAAAACATGTTGTTGGATATCATGGCAGTTTTCGGTGATACGTTGACGAAGTTCATCCAAACTTTTACGTTGAGGACACAATAGATTTCGAATGGCCCCATAGAAAAAAGTCTGATGACGTCAAATCAGAAGATCTAGCAGGCCATTCTATGAGCCCTCTTCGCCCTATCCATTTATCTGGAAACTCGCCGTCTAGCCATTGCCGAATGGGAAGATCATAGTGAGGAGGAGCGCCGTCTTGCTCGAAATATATTTCAGCCTCATCAAGGGTTTCCATCCTCTTCGATTTGATTTTCAATGGTTTCAATGATAAGCGGTTTGATGGTATTTTCCAACATATCCAAATAAATCTCTCTATTCAAATTTCCATTAATAAACAATGGCCCAATCACTTGGTTTCCTAAAATCTCTCCGTTTCAAATTATAAGCGAATTGAGATTTGGCAAACCCTAACGGACAACATTTTGAGCACTTATTGTAATAAAAAGTGATATTTTCGTGTGTTTTGTTTGCTATTTGAACAATTTAAGATAAAGATTTTTTTAAATTTTTTCGAAAACGGGTCAACTGATTTAAAAAATCAAACGTCAAAAGAATGGACTTCGAAAGACCTTTCAAACAAGTTACTACTCGATACCCATTATCATTTAAATTTTTTAAGGGAATGACCCTGGGGGGCCGAGGGTGAAAGGAGGTGAAGTAGTTTTTGGTTGACAAATCTTTTGACGTGTCTCAGCATTTCTTCTTTTAATCAGTGGTTTTCGATTGATCCGTGGTGGGAAGTTTCCAAATGTAGAGCTGTGTAATCATAATATACCCTCTGAGAAACGATCCTATCCCCAAGCCTAGGTGGCACCATATGGAATAATCGAGTATGACAGGTGCGCCGCTGTTTAGAGAGTCATCGGGCTTAGGTTTCTTCCACCACAGGAGTAACCGCGATCGGTGGGGGGTCGCAGGGTGAGGAGGGTTACTAGGGCATGCCGCCGCGACGCACCAAGGTCGACGGCGTCGCCCGCTACGAGACGTTCACCAGCTACGTCGTATGGTTTCAGTGGCGCGCTCAAGATTTGGCGTAAACACAGAGGAAAAGTCATTATCATGCATACTTACAAACCGACCGAATATTATAATATTAAACTACTTCCCAAAACTCCTATACGACTATAGCACTAGATATTTTAATCATATGTCAGGCTCACTCCGAGTAAAGCTGAATCGGTCACTTCAAATAGCACATTAGTCCAGTTTCGTGCTTTTTTGCTGAACATGTTTTATTAAAGGTTTATATGTTTTCTGGATATAAACGACGGAAGTCAATTCCTAACTCATAATATACGTTTATTGCATGAATAGCATAAGTCAGTGACACGTCGATTTACATCAAAATATACTAAGTGACATATAAATCCGAACACCCAGTTTAAATGGTTTTATTTTAATAAAATTTTGTATAAGTACTTATTGAAGCATAATAAGTAAATGATAAAAATTTCAAAATGATTTCACTGCTTTAAAGCCCTTTGACCTTTAATAATGTGTGGATGCACCCTGATGTGCTACGCATTCTCCAACGCGCCTAGGCATGCTTCTGATCAGGTGGTCAATGTCCTCCTGTGGTATCTCATTCCAGGCAACCACCAACTCCTCTCGAAGTGCTTCTAGAGTCTGAGGAGGACGTTGCAAATTGAGCAATCTCCTACCCATCATATCCCACACGTGCTCAATTGGGGATAAGTCGGGAGATCTTGGTGGCCATGGTAACAATGTGACATCATTATGTTGAAAGAAGTCTATTGTGACTCCTGCAACATGTGGTCGGGCATTATCTTGTTGGAAAGTTGGATCTGCCAGGGTGTCAAGATAGGGTAAAAGATGGGGTTCTAGAACTTCGTGGATATAACGCTGCGCGTTCATGTTACCTCTGATGAAGATTAAAGGTGACCTGGAACCATAAGCTATAGCACCCCAAACCATAACTCCAACAGTGTGATGAACATGTCTTTCAATAAAAAACTGTGGATTCCTCCTTTCACCACGTCGCCTTCTAACCCTGGCACGACCATCGTGCATGCCTAAACAAAATCGAGACTCGTCACTAAAGACAATACTATTCCATTCCTGATCCCAGAGTGACCGTTGTCTGCACCACTCAACACGATTACGTCGGTGTTCTCGAATTAAAGGGAGGACCCAGTGTGGCCGGTATGAAAACAAGCCAAAACTTCTCATTCATCGGTAAACACTTCGCATGCCAATAGGTCTTCCGTGTTCTGCAAACCATTCATTTGCAATGGACCTGGTAGTGGAGAAACGGTCCCTTAAGGCCAATAATCTTAGGCGGCGATCTTCACGGTCTGTTGTTCTACGGCGGCGTCCAGTGCCCCTTGCTCTTTACGTATGGCCTTCTCGAAGCCATGCCTGACAATAACCACAGTGTCTACACTTCTTTGCACTCTAACTGCAATTGCCCGAAAAGAAGGTCCAGCTTCCCGAAGTCCCACTATACGGCCCCTATCAAACTCACTAAGTTGACGAAATCGTACAGGTCTCCGTACTCTAGGCATCGTAACCGATCGTAAAGGATGTCAAGAACCAAAATCCGCCAACGTTGATTCTTTACTGCGGCTGAAATATTCATTTTTAGAGTGTTAGTGGATTAAAAAAAAGCAGTATAAAAACCGGAATGTCCAACTGATACGGCTGAAAATTTTTTCACTTATTATTTACAGTAAGATGAATACATTCACCAACTTTTAATAAAATAAAACCATTTAAACTGGGTGTTCGGATTTATATGTCACTTAGTATATTTCGATAAATACGTCAAATAGAGAACAGTGTTGTAGAGCAAAGTTATGAAGTTTTTTTACGTTCAAGTGCTTTCAAGTTCGTGACCTTGACTGTGAACTTCCGGATCACTTTAGGGCAACCAAAAGATCTTTAAAACTCAGCGAAAATAGGTACACATCGATAACTTCGTTATTGCTATAGGGAGAAGCCAATCTCAAAGATCTGATAGTTCATACAATTTGAATTTTCCAGGAGACAGTAAAACTGTATCATTCACGAATAAACCAATATCGAAGAACTTTTTAGGACCTAATATAATGTTTAAGGATCAAAAAGGTTGATGTGTCACCTTGCCTTCACATTTTATTAATCGTAATAATGCAAAAAGTCGGAAAACCTGTTCTTAACTTATTAATAATCATATATTTGATTGTTTATTAATGAACACTTAAATAGTGGCTTATTAATATTACGTTTCAATTCTTGCATGTCTTAATGTATTTAAGATTCCAGGGCAAAGCCAACACCCCGGATAAAACAATTTTCACGTTTTATATGCATCGTGAAATAGTTAATAACATATTGGCTCAACTTGCTTCAATAAGTTGTAGGTACTTATTTCGCTACCATATTACAAGATGTATTTCTTCAACAATAAAGTTGATTTTCTAAGACAGGTTGTGCAATTGGTTACAATTTCATACCACCTTCGCGAACAACTTTTAAAATTATCTAACGTATACATACAATACAAATTATAAGGCTAGAGTAAATGGTTTATGGTAGGAAACTACAAGACTCTTAAAGTGACTTTGGCCAAAGCAGATAAAGCCAAATGAGTTCTTTGATAGCCCGTAACCTTATTTTTGGAGTCATTGATAAATTTGCTGAAATAAGACAACGCAAAGCACCATCTATCACCGGAATCGAGTACTGCGAGAGCAGATAGCTGCTATTTGTGGGAACTGCAAAGATCTCAGTTCACATTTAATAGCAAAGTCACCATGCGACCACTAATGGCTGATGATTTTGGCTGTGTTGTAGATGTGGTCTACTTACCATCAGCGTTTTTGTTCGTCAGACCAAAAGACAGCAAAATACCGGCAGCCGTTTCATGCTTCTTGACTACTTATCAGTATAGTCGAGCACAAAATAGCTCTCATGGTTGGGTGTCTTTTGGTTATGAAAACAAATTAGAGATCCTGGTACTGTTTTTGAAATGACCCATTCAATTACCCGCCGTCGAGTAGTGAATACCATTAAAAGCAACGTAAGCCACTTATGCTATGAACCTATATTACACGGTATTGTTTGAATGGGTAGGAATGTATTATACAAAGTGTTCAAAAAATAGACGGAGATATTTAAGAGGGCGATTCCTTGTTAAAAAATATGAAAAAAAGTTTCTATAAACATGGGTCCAAAAATGCAGTTTTCAAGATACAGGGTGATAAATTGAAAAAAAATACATGAACATCTTTAAAAATATTCATTCGATTCTGTTGAAATTTGGCAATATTATTTGCTATATTAAGAGGTTAATTTAGCCCTAAATAGGCTAAAATTGTTAGGTCCAGTGGCGTCCCAGGGGGGCACCTTAGCGAATATTATTGGCCAAAACTGTACGTCGCTGCCTGTTTTGTAACTTTAGTGTATGTTGTTCGATTCAGAACAGAATACAACTTCTTTGCCTCCCGCATATCTTTCGTATCTCACTTCGTGCTCGAGAAAAAAATAAAAACCGTTTTATTGCATGTCATTGGACAAAATTGCTTTGTTAATTTTTGCTAAAAAAATCACAAGTGCCTTGGAAAACAAAAAAATTCCTAGGAAATAGTGTTACTGCAACTTTTCCAATCGGTACCATGACATAAAGTATACTAAAACAAATTAATATTTTTTTCTGTGGCTCGAAAACTGCATATCCTGGCTCATGTTTATAGAAACTTTTTTCATATTTTTTAACAAGGAATCACCGTCACCGTGTATTTTTCGAATACCCTGTATATACTTACGTGGGTAGTGTCTAAAATACCAAGCAAAAAAACGGAAAAAAGTGACTGCTGCTTTTTGAAATGATCGATTCGTTTAAAATAACATCTTACCCTTGTCCTTTAATTTATTTGTCACATCATTATGTGGTTGTTGTCCGCCACTGCAGTGTTCATTGGTCGGATGGTTGCCGTGCGATAATGTAGCCGTAGTAAATCAGTCGCGGTGGCACGGGTCCAGGCGGCTGGGAGAGGGGGCAGGGGGTTGAGGGTTGGAAGGGAGGGAAGAACACCCCAGCTACCTCCTGAAAGTCGATAAAACGAACTCGGCCGGATACTACACGACGAATGGATACAACTGCGTCACCGACTACAATCAACAGAACGGCCTTAAAGTGGTCTTCAACAGTTCTCCAGTGCTGGCCCTCAAAGCTTGCTCAATGAAGAAGTTACATTGAAAGGTAACGAAGAAACCATTGCAGCAAAGCATCTTTACTATGAACCACAAAACACATAAGACTGAAGAAGTGGGAGCTACACGTTAAACAATGGCAACACCATTGACGTTTTGTGAGATGGTTGTGCCGCCTACTTGCCTGGAGATCTGTAGGAACTATCGAAAGAATGCCGAGAACGCGCCCGGAATAAGGAATGCTACGAATGTGCCGGGCTGCCGGGGATTTCGTTTGTTCATAATTTGAAAGCCGCTGAAAATGATATTTCCGATATTGAAGGGTTATTTCATGAACATATATTCAAAAAAATATCCACAATAAGGGTTATATCTCTTTCAGCAATTTTACTGAGAAAAAGGTTCAGCATAATAAAATCCAACCCTAATAATTACGAAGCACCAAAGTTATTCAGTTTAAAAAAATATTCATATGCGGTTGACAATGGTATACAAGTTGTATTACATAATAAAATCCAACCCTAATAATTACGAAGCACCAAAGTTATTCAGTTTAAAAAAATATTCATATGCGGTTGACAATGGTATAGAAGTTGTATTACATGAAAATATAGATAGATTTATTTCAAATTCATGTTGAGTGTTGTAAAACACAAGTGTCACTTCATTGTTCCGCTTCTTGATAATTCTGAAACAATACAGAAAACATTAATGTAATTCATAATTCTTTGTAAATAAGCTAGTCATTTTTCATTAGTTTGCTCAGTTCTATCCCTTCAATTTGTTGGCCTTTCATACTTAATACAACGGATTATAAAGAGGCTGAATCCAGACATGCAATTTTAAATAAATAATTTACCAAATACATCATGCCGATATGTGAAGTTCACAGCCTACCTGTAGCACTTTATCACATCTCAGAGTCTCCTGAACGTCTGCATCTCCCACAATAGTCACAATTCATCTCACTTATACCATTACAGGAACTAATAGTGTTGCTTTATATTTTATGCTCATTTTTTATGAAATATCTCCAAAAGCATCAGCGTTGATAATCTCGATATTAACCAAAACAAACGCCATATTTGATATCTTTACATTCTGAAATTCAGATAGAGATAGAGAGTCTCGGCAAGGTTGCCAGGTTTTCAGTCATCTTGGTCGTTAAGCTTTGATGAGAAAATCGCCAAAAATCGCCAATCCAAATTAACTAAGAGTCTAACCATAAAACTCCAGGTTAGAGATTGGAATGGGTTTGTCGCCCGAGGAGGTGAAGTAGTAACTGGCCTAAGCGCCTAAGCAGCCCGCCTGTTGACGATAACTGAAAAGCGGTGATACTGAAGAACACCTTGGTATTTCCTGTAGACAACAACGATCCTAAAATCTAGAACATGCAAAGATTATTTATTGCAGATGCTAGGAACATGGTGGGGTCAAATGCTCCGGCACGGGTATTTATCTCTAAAAGTGACATTTTGTCGGTTTTTTGACGATCTATAGATTTTTTGTGACATAACGTAGGCTTTTCTACGAGATGTCATTTTAGAACTAGCTGTTGTACGCTTGTTGTGAACTCGTTTTGTAGCTGTACGTGTTGCCTAAACGTCATGATGCTCCAGCAGTCAGTGTTTAGATCTGACGTAATGTTCCATTGGTTTGTTGTCTCAAGTACACTTACATGAGATCTATTCAAAACTAGAAATTTTCTTATTATTCTGGAAATTACTACATATGTAAATTTGCTGAATTTTATAAATGAGAGAGAAAAGGAAAGAAAGTGAAGTATACCTATTACAAGTAACAGATGAGAAAATATGCTACAGACGGGAATATTTATGAAATGTAATAAAGGTACTACTCTCCAGAAAGGACAACATAATATGAGTACCCATCAGGCACAGCTAATAGGTATACTTCAATGGCAGAATATTCAGTAATAGTTTTGTCGCAGAAAATATCAATAGTTTTTTGCACATGAAGACCAACACACATAATCATCGAGATGCGATCATCCTACTCAACCAACTTTCTTTCTTTCACATCTTCTCAGAGATAACACTACAGACTACTGAGCTTTCTGCAACCTACAAGCAATCAACAATGCATGTCGTGTCGTTGAGTCATTCCTCCATAGATGGATGCTTTTGATGGCGCTCACAGCGATCATAGTGAACAAACGTTGAATGAACAATTTACACACTATAAAATAACTGATCTGTAAGGCCATGTACAGATATGTAACAACACCGCCAACCGAACCTCGCGACGAACCGCAGCGCGCGCATTTTGACGAACAACATCACCACAAACCAAACGACGTCGTGCAACCACATCGCGCAACAAAATGACGATCCAATTCTGATGTTTCTCATTAAGTGAAAGACGAATACTAACTGAAATGGATAAAGCAGTAGCAGCAGCTGCCTATATTTATATTCACTGCGAATTATCCAAAAACAAGTGATGACGCCGTCCGATAGATCAGCACACGATTGCAACAATTTGATAACGGAACTGCCATTTTCCGTTTACATAAGCCAGCTGTTGTTCCCATTGTGGATGCTCCCAGGCATAATTTTTTTTTTATTTATTGTAAAAGAGTTTTCTCATCCGACCATTCCATCTTTTTGTCACGGGGTCTATCCATTTACAGAGATGAGCGAGTGCTCGCCGCACCCCTATGCCTGTCCAAACATGTGCAACTTCGTCGCGAGCCATTCGCTTGATGTTGCGCTGAAAACCCGACAGAGCCTGGATCGGGCCGAACGGCGAGCTATAAAGGATCCCCCAAACAAACGCGATTAATCCGCTGCGATATTCGAGGCGATATAATTCTCGCGAAATTCGCTGCGAACATCTGAGGGACTTTCATATCGAAGCGAAAAGATCGCAGTGGATTGGCAGTAAGCGGTGTGAGAGTGTAGCTTCAAAATCAAATAAAATCAAATTAAAACATGTACTCTTCAGATGAAGAAGAAGCAATTCTATATCTTGCTTTGGCGGAGGAAGAAAGGAGTAGGTATGTATTTATTGCAACATGTAGGTCTCAAAAAAATAAATATAATTATATAATATATATAATTTTTTACGCAGTAAGCAATGTGACGAACAGTATAGTATATACACATTCTAGACGAAGATCCAGATCCATCACAAGCCTTTACCAACATCGAAAATGATCCAAGACGTGCAACGAATCTGGCATTTTCTACACGAGAAAAATTTTTTGACTACTTCAACTCCTAATATTGTTGGTCAAGATCAGCTTAGCTAAGCCATTCATAAATAATAAACGTATTATAATAATTTCTCAGTATAGAGTAACTTACCGGTGTCATTCAATTCCACTCCTATCTCATCCCAGATTTTGTCTTTTTTTCGAACATTTTTGTAGTCCTCGTTGTTCAAGTCATAGAGAATTGGAAATTGTTTGATTATTTCCAGAAGTTTTTCAGTGTTTGCCATTGCGATAGCGATAAAAATCGTGCAAGCAGCGAATTAAAATTTAGACGCTGCACTGTCGCACCGCTTTGAGCGAAATTGACGCACAGGCCTGTTCTTGTTCATTTGCTTCTACGAGAATGTCGTCGCGAATTAATCGCAGTCGCTGCGAAATATTCGCGTCGGTTTGGGGGATCCTTACGGTAATCAGGTTCGTGACGGCGTTCTTTTCACGGTTTACACTAGCGCGGCGCGTTTCGTCGCGTGTTCGGTTCGGGGTGTTGTTACATATCTGTACATGGCTTAACATGCCATTTTGTCGTTTTTTTTTCGACGGTCAAGGAGCCAAACAGACAAACCGACGGAAATGAGTGATTTAGTTTCCCGAAATGTACGTCATATAGCATACAAAAAACATAATGTCTCATTTAAAATTTGAGATATCTCAAAAACAGAGTTCGGTAAAATTGAAAACTGAATAACATATAAGGCATTCCATATGAAATAAGCAAGTCGGTATCTGTTTCCAAAACAACTGGAGATGCCAACATTTTGAAAACGTTTTATCCGAGTTGCTTATGTCAGTCGCACCGTAAGCTCAAATTTTCATAACTCTTTGCAGCAACTTTTTGAATAATCGATTGCCGGAGTTCTACGTGGGACGCCCTGAATGTGATGCGATCCTACCATACAATTTTTGTGTTCGACTACGCAGCGCTACCTCTATGTTATAAACTTCTTCACTTATCGTTTTTCGTACATGTAACCGTCTTCTCCATGCCGGAAGCTGTTATTGATTTTGATGTCCTTTGTGTTCGGAAGTTATTAAAACTTTCCGCATGGATTATGTATCATAATAAGAGTTTAATGAAGTCGCCTGGGGTCCAAATGGCCGAATGAATAGTGAGCCAGCGAAGCAAACTTCCTGGAGACATCGTTATAATCTTGCAGAGAGAAACATCAGGTTTGTCGTTCGTCTTATGTTAATAACTAAATACAAATACTTTTCTTAGTGAATTATGGTATAAGAACTGCTCAACAAAAACCTCGAACAGTTATTATTAGAAAAACGTCTGTCTATGAAATTTTTGATGTACATACACTACCGCTCAAAAGTTTTGGTTCAGCAGATTTTTGAGTGAAATCAAACCAAATCAAACAATAGAGTGTGTTTAATCAAAAGAATAAGAAAGGAACCATTTTTCACTCGAACCCAGTTAGTTGGTAACGTATTTATATCAAAATTTACTTTAAATTCTTGATTCATCGAAATGTCGACCACGAGCCCGAA